TGATGCACACTTTCTTTACATAAAACTCTTATACATGAGTTGCTGTGGATTTGTTTCTCCAAAGTACCTAGACTAATACACCCAGTTAGTTTCTGCTTTGAATTTTACTTCTTGGTACCATGTTTTCAGTAATGGAAGGCATGCTGAAACCAAGGGAAAGAGTCATTTTGAGGTCAGATGGCTCATGATACAATTCTATGGGACTCCTTGGTCCTTCTCAGACCCCTGCGGGTAGGATTGCAGTTAAGCAGATCCCCACCAGGGGGCAGCGCCTACCACGGGCTAAAAATGTTGATGGGTCTTGGCAGGATTCCCGCTGGACACGCTGCTTTTAAGTTAGGGTCTTGGGAGCTATTGTAAATGACAGACCGAAAGCAGCCGGAGCCTGGCCTCACACACGCATGTCCTGGCACCTCCCTTGTCTTCCGCTTCTGTGAGCTGATGAGAGCCCATTTTACGGCTTTTCCTGAAACGAGAATCTGTCCAAAGAGTGGACATCTCACTCTCCTTTTTTCCTCCAATCCATTTTAAGAATGTACGGCTTTTAAGTTAAGTCGTAAAATAAAGATCTGCTTTTCCCCCAGATTCGTCTGTTGCTAACCTTTTGCTCTGTTTGCTTTAGGATGTACTCACCTGCCCTTCACCCTGTGTGTGTGTGTGTGTGTGTGTGTGTGTATCTGCAACTATCTTATCTGAACAAAACCCACAGCTTCTCTGTGGCAAGTGAGGTGGGGGTTTACATGTCAGGCCATCAGTCCTGAGTTTAATCATTTCAGCTACTTACCCAGTTTCCCCAGTAGCTCGGCCCCCTCCCCACTGGGGTTTCTTTTCTGCCTCTTGTGGAATACTCCTTCCCTCTCACCCATGTGTCTCATTGGATTGGTCCCTTTGGAAGCTGCAGGTGTTCAGCTGTTCTCAAGTCCAGGCTGGGGCCCTGGGACGCCAGGCACTTTGGGAGTGGTCTGTCTGCTCCGGCACCTTGTGCCGCTAAGCGCCCATTGCTCTGCTCTCACCCTTCTAGGGCTGTCCGTGTTCTCCAGGGTCAAAGGCGAGTACAACAAGTATGTATGAATCTGGGGCACCCGCCCGCTTGCCTTCTCCATCCTCAGGCGGCTGAGCCCCCACACCCTGTGTGCCCCCCGGTTCCCTGCTCTGTAAAGCCCAGCATGCCTTTCTTGGGACCCTGTTTCTTCCTCTGCACCTTCATGACAGCCATCACCATGGTGTGGTGTTAACTTGAAAGACATGTAAAAGACTGCTCCCCACCCCACCCCACCCAACCCCACCCACAGGCATGCTTCATCTGTCAGGGTGGACCCCACTCGTCACCGGGCAGCATGCTGGGTGGTGCGTTCTGACCGAAGAACAAGCCCGAGTGGGGCCCCCTCTCTGGCCCCCAATACCAGCCATAAGACTTGAAAGGCAAAGCCACTGTCAGTTGGTTCTGACTTGGCGACTCTAGGTCAGAGGAGAATCGCTCCCCGGGACTTCCTAGGCTGTAAATCAGAAGGAGCCCTCGTGGCTGAACGGGTTAGCGTTGCGGTGCTAACCACAGGGTCAGCAGTTGAAAACAGCTGTCCTCTGCTCCTTGGGGGAGAGAGGAGGCTTTCTGTTCCCAAAGCTCTGCAGTCTCAGGAATCTTCAGGGTCTTCTCTGCCCTGTGGGGTCAGACTAGACTTGATGGCAGTGAGTTTCAGTTTGTCTCCCAAAGATGAGCAGCCAGCCTCATCTCTCTCCCAAGGAGCAGCTGGTGGGTTTGAACTGCTGACTTTGCAGTTAGCAGCCCAACACTGGACCCACTTTGCCACCAGGCCCTGGCCTTAAAGCCAGTGGACATTCCGATACTCTGTAAGACTTAGGGGACAGAGGGAGCACGTGCCAGAGCCCACTTAGGGAGCCTCGGTTGTAACGGTGATCTTGTTCTTTGTTCCTCCTGTGCCCCTCTCTCTTTGAAATAGGTATGTCTCCCATTCATGTAACTTCTTCCTCTTCCCGACAACGTTTGGGATTTTGGATTCAGAATTCTCTTTCCAGGCGTCTAGCGTTCAGTTTTTGAATCAGTACGGCTTCGACTATAACAAGGTACGGCGTGGGAGGGGTGGACGCGGCCATTCCAGCAGCTCCCGGCCCGGCTCACGTTCGTCCATCCAGCCGTCCCGAGTCATGTGTTTCTTTCCCCTCTTACTCGGCCCCAAAGCGCTCTCCTCCCTCCAGGCGCGGAAGACACTCACACCCATCTCCTCGCTTTGCTCCGCAGTTTCTCAAGAATGGCATCCCGTATATGAACGAGGAACAAGAGAGGAAGATGAAACACAGTATCCTGAGTGGGAGCTGGAGAGTCCGAAGGTAGAGCCGATTTTGTTCGCCAGGTGTGGTGTGGGCTCTGTTTTTCTGCAGCCCACGGTGGCCAAGAGAGAGGTGACGCGGGTAGTGCTCATTTCACTGCCCAGCCCAGAGAACCCCCTCTGGGGGGCGGGTGCTTCCTGCCCCACCCTGGAGGGGAGACGTGGCATTCAGCAGCTTCCTCTGTCAGCATCAGCTCCTAGGGGAACCGTCCGTGGCACCGAGTGGGTTTTAGGGTTTACAAATGGAGGACAGAGGAAAATGAATTCTTACTGTGGTGCCACAGCTCTGGCACCTTAGTGGTAAAGCGTTGGGCTGCTCACCTCGAGGTCAGCTGTTTGAAACCACCAGCTGTTGCTCTGGAGAAAGACAAGGCGTTCTACTCCCACCAAGAGCCCCAGAAAGCCACCGGGCACTTCCACCCTGTCCTGCAGGGTCCCCACTGGACGGCGGCGAGTTTGGGGTTCTTTGGGTTTCTTTCATTATTGTGTTGCTCAGATGCACAGAAGTGCCATTCCGGAGCTTGTGGGGAAACCTGGGTCCTGCAGGACTGACTTGCTGTGAGCTGTTTGGCCGGCTGGCCTTTGGATCTTCTGAGGGGCTGGGGCACTCAATTCTACCCCCTGGTCCCGGACCCTGTGGTTTTGGGCAGGATTTGGCACCCATTCATGCAGGTTTTACACATGAGAATTTCCCTGTGCCCCTCTGGTCCATAGACTCCAAATCGACATTCTAACCTGGGTGTCTCGTGAACATGTGGGTGCTGCCTCGGTGTGTCTGGGGTGTGAAGGAGCACCCTTGGCAGCGGGTGGAGTCAGAACGAGCCAGGTTGGAGCCCCGGGTTTGGGGGGATTTGCCTTCCAGGGCTGTGTGCGTAGTGGACGCCACCTGAGAGTTTGGTGAGTGTCCGTCTGGCAAGGAAGCCCACCTGGCACTGCTGATGAACTGGCTGGGCGAAGGCCTGGACCTGGTAAGGGGAGCTTCTGTCTCAGGAGAATAAGTGCCCCCCTGGGGACAGGGACGTTAAGAGCTGGGCCCCTTCGGCCTCGCCCCATGGGCCTTCATTTCTGCCTCTTCTGTCATATCCAAGCCGCTGTGGCAGGTACATGAGTTGCAACAGCGAATGCTTGGGCCCAAAGCAGCAGGGGGCCGGCAGTCTGAAGTGTGGGGAGTTGGAGCTGGCACCTGGCACCCGGCACCTGGCACCCGCTGGCCCATCTCTGTGGTGGGGGTAGGGGAGGCTGGCTTGCTCAGCCAGGGTCTGAACTGTGGAGGGGCAGAAGGCAGTTGACACAGAGCACCTGGGATGTGGAAAGGTGGGTGAGCCCGAGGACACCCCAGGGCTGCTCAGAGGGTAGCTCCCAGGGACCTTCTGATTCGGGGCTCGGTGAAGATGGATCCGCTTCACTGTCCTGCTTTTCTGTGTCCCCTCCTGTCCCTAGTCCCTGAGCCTGGCTGTGGACAACCAGGACTGCGACTGGGAGCAGGGCAGGCGGCAGGATGGCGTGTGGCCCCTGGCATGCCTGAAACGGGGCGGGGGCTGAGGTGGGGGTATGTGTGTGACTGGAAACAGCTGCTGCCGTCCTTTGGGCCCTAGATTCCCCGCCTTTGCCACAGGGGGTTACATTGGGCAGCTCTGAACTCAGACGTGTGACGATTTGGTCTTGGTGATGGTTTCAGCCGCGTTAGAGGTTTAGTACTGCTGCTGTTTAAAAGTCCTGTAGGTAGGGTTCAGATTAAAACACAACTCTTTGTCGTGACAGAACAGTTTCCATTTTTGAACCTTCCATAATTTGGAAAGGAGCCGGGGTGGAGTACCAGGTGACCCTTGGGGCTGCTAACCGCAAGATCAGCGGTTTGAGCCCGCCCCACCCCGCGCGAGGGAGAGCAGCGAGGCTGCTGGCTCCTCAAAGTTGGGAAAAGTCTTGGGAACTCACGGGGCAGTTCGGCCCTGCCCTGTAGGGCCGATTCCAGTTGAAATTGGATAGATGGCAGTAAGTTTTGTTTTTGAGTTGTTGTTTTTTTTTTTAAGTCATTTTATTGGGGGCTCTTACAACTCATCACAATCCATACATACATCAGTTGTATAAAGCACATTTGTACATTTGTTACCCTCCTTATTCTTTTTAAAAAATTATTTTATTGAGGGCTCGTACAATTCTGATCACAGTCCATACATATATCCATTGAGTCAAGCACATATGTACACCTGTTGCCCTCATCAATCTCAAAACATTTGCCCTTTACTTTAGCCCTCAATATCGTTTGCTCGTTTTCCCCCTCCCTCCCTCTTCTCCCCTCCCTCCTGAACCCTTCATTATTCATAAATTATTATAGTTTTGTCATAAGTTACCCTGTCCGACGTCTCCCTCTGCCCTCTTCTCTGCTGTCCATTCCCCAGGGAGGAGGCTATACTTAGATTCTTGTAATTGGTTCCCCCCTTCTACCCCACATTCCCTTCACCCTCCAGGCCTCGCCCCTCTCACCACTGGTCCAGAAGGAGTCATCTATCCTGGATTCCCTGTGTTTCCAGTTGCTATCTGTACCAATGTACATCCTCTGGTCTAGCCAGATTTGCAAGGCAGAATTGGGATCATGATATTGGGTGGGTGGGGGGTGGGTGTTGAGTTTTAATGTTGGCAAGAGGTCGCTCCTGATCTCTAAACAGCAGTCCGTGCTTCTGCTTTGAACCAGGCGAAGAGGTGGCCCCAGGAGTCCCCTTTCCTGAATTTCACCAGGTGCTGTAGAGAAGGGCCACTGCAACCCACGCAGACACGTCCAGACTGACACCCCAGGGCCCTCTCCTCCCCGCCCTGGGGAAGCAGGATGGGCCAAATGTGTTCCCAGGATGCTGGCGGGGGAAGGGAGTAGTTCTCTAAGTTCACAGCCTTCCAGTTGATGCTGACTCATAGCCACCCTGGAGGGCAGCGTCGAACTGCCCTGCGGCTTCCGAGGCCATGACTCTTTCCTGGGCCCACAGCCTCGCTCTCCTTTGGAGCCGCCGGTGGCTTCTAATGGTTGTTCTTGTGGTGAGCAGCCCAACACGAAATGCCCTCTGCCTCCAGGGTTCAATTGTGTCATAAGACCAGGACCTAAATGGTCCCGGGCTCTGTTTTCTTCTCCGGCATCCCGTGGTACCATCCGAGGCCCCGGAAGCCTGTTGCGCTGTCTGCTGGTTCTAGCGTGGTGTCTGCAACATTTGCACTTCCTGCGCTCTGTTTTCAGTTCTTTGGACAAAGACCAGATCAAGTTGGTGATTGACAGAGTGACGCAGTGGCTGGACCTGGCCGAGGAAGGGGACTCTATGACTCTCTCCGGCATCACTGGTAGGTATGGGGGTGCTGGGGGTGCAAGGACCGGTCCCTGTCACGGGCCAGCCATGGTGGGCGGGGGTATTGCTGGTCTTCTCTCTCCAGGGACCCAGCCACAGTGTCTGGTGCCAGTGTTGGCGGAGTAGACTCGAAGCCTTGTGCTTGGACAAGGCTCTAGCCCAAATCAAATGCTAGAGGCTTCTTGGTTGGCTGTTAATATTGAGGATGAGGAAGTGCAGTCCCATTCTGACCATCTTTTCGATGCTGACCTAAGTGCCTCACGCGAGTTTCCTCCCACAAGGGAATTTGGATGCCCGAGGAAAGTGTCCCAGAAGGACAGCTCTAGAGGACGTGGCATCTGCCCGGTGAATACTGCTGTAAACAACAACAACAACAACAACAGGAAAACAGCATCCAATTTGACTTAAGGGCCTGCTTGGTAGAGAAATAGTAATGACTGATGAGATGACACCTTCGCCTCTGGTTACTTGTCTTTTTAATGTGGAAGGGTCACACGTGGTTTGCATAAAACGGTCCTGCTGTGCACCCACCTTCCCCTCCCCCTCCCTGCAGAGATCGCCTGGGGAGCACCTGTGTAGGTGGGCATTTGGAGCTGGCTCACAGCTTTTTCCTGGAACATCACCTCCACTGAGAAGAGCTCACTGTGGTCAGGTAGACTTGGGTATTTGTGGTTTTCTCGAATGAAAACAAGCCTGCCATCCAAGGGCGCTCACTGGCCGCATTCATTAGTGAGAGCATTCCCCACTTGCTATCAAAACGGGATTTTGAAAACTTGCACCTCCCCCTGCTAGCAGAGAGGAGAGTCCTCAGCGCCTCTCAGGGGCATCACAGAGGGACCGGTGCTGACTTGGGAGGTCCGTGTGCCTTTAGCAGAACTATGTTCCAAACGAGGAGCCGCGGTGTTACAGAGCCCACGGGAACGACCTGTGAGAATTGGATGGCAGACCCAACTCTCCAGAACCATCAAGTGGACCCTGACTCACAGCACCTTGTGTCAGTCTGTACCGGAGCAGACAGCCTCATCTTTGTCCAGTGGAGCAGCTGGTGGGTTTGAACCGTGACTTTGCAGGTAGCCCAGTGCTGAGCCTAGGCACCCCAGGGCTTCTCATCATCGGACTGTACGTTGCAGCTAACCTCTTATGAAAGAACATCTTTGGGTGTATTGTTATTATTGCTCAGAATGATTTGAGAAGCATTGTGAGTAATTGAAAAGTAATTCTTGTTTTGTTTTCTGATTGCACATCTCTGTGGTGAGACTGGAGGGTCATTGTGTGCTTCTGCAAGGACCACGTATATCAACAAGTACAGAGATTCCAGCCAGATGTTACGAGATTCGCACAAATGTAAATCCCCTCACTACACTTTGTTGAGTGAGGAAAAGTTATCTTTCTTTAAAAATGACACTTAGACTAATGTATAGTGAGGCTTGTTATTTTAGAAGAACATTTCAAATTGCTGATTTATTTTGAGTTTCCAGCTGGACTGTTAACCGAAAGGGTATAGCCGTTCAATCTCCCTGGCTGCTCTGCAGGAGAAAGGCATGGCGCCCTGCTTGTATAGAGACTTCCAGTCTTGGCAGCCCGATGGGCGCAGCTCTGCCCTGCCAGACCACGGTGTGTCAGGATTGAGCACAGCGGGTACAGCTCTCACACACAGTCCATGGGGTGCTCAGCCAGGAGTGGAGACCCCGAGACCAAAAGTGTTGAGAAGCCGCCCTACCTCATGCTGTGGTGCTCAGGAGCCTCAGGCAAACCTGAGAGCTGCCTTGTGTTTCCCCTTCAAGTAGTTTTATTGGCATATATGTCACATATCATAGATTTGAATCATTCGATCCTGCTAAGGTTTGTGCAGTCATTACCACAATCAATTTCAGGTAGTTAGAACGAAGTGTTCTTGCGTTGAGGGAGGGCTTGAGCAGAGGCCCAAAGTCCTTCCACTTCCTCAGTGTATTGCCATATAAATAGATGTACCTAGGCCAATATCTCTATTTTTATGAATGAATATGTTTACATAAGTGCATACCTATGCTTATACCTCTATCCGTAGCTTTGCTTCCTGGATCTTTCCTCCGTTCCCTTTCACCTTCCTCCTGCCCCACCTTCACGCTCGCCCTCCTGCCTCTTAGTCAGTCCTCTCAGCTAGATTGCTGTTGCTCCAACACCCCCAGGGGCTCTGCATGCTCCTGGTTGTTGCTTTATTTTTTTTCATCATTCTATTGGGGACTCATACAACTCTTATCACAGTCCATACATCAATTGTGTAAAGCCCTCATCATTCTCAAAACATTTGCTCTCCGCTTAAGCCCTTGGATTGTTGTTGCTTTTAATTCCCTAGTTGTTCCCCTGTTTATAGCAGTGTTTGCTCACCGCTCCCTTCCCTGCCTCCTCCTCCCCACAGGTCCCCCTGGAACGGCCTGTCCCATGGCTTTCCCCTCAGGCTTGATTCCCATGCCTGTCTTGCATCGGTAGACAAACAATAACAGAGACAAAAAAAGATTGAATAAAAAGAGCTAAAAAACTAGCAAAAAAACCCAAAACAAAGTGAAAAAGCATACATAACCCCAGGTCTGCCCGCTGACCTTCCTGATGCCCCACTGGCCCTGGGGGATAAAAACAAGCAAACAAACAATTTCAGAACATTTTCTCCTTGTACTCATTACCTCCTCTGTTCCTCTCCTCCTCCCCTAAGTGCCAGGCCCATGAGCAGTGATCAGTTACTGTCTGTCTGTGGATCTACCTCTCCTGGATTTCATTACAGACAGGCAAGCATGTGAAACACAAACAGGAAACAAGCAAACAAACAAAACCCAACAACAATGACTGGACACAAGAGAGAAGCCTCAATTCCAAAGCAAACACACTAAAAATGGAAACATTTAAAATGGGTCCAGAGGGGGAGCAAATGATAAGGAATCACACCTTGGCCTGTTTGTTAAGCGTGCCACCATCAATTGTACGGCGCGCCCTGGGCAAGGCTGTTCCCATCCCTGGGCTGTTGTCCGAGGGAACTTCCTGGAGGCATAATCCCCATGTGGACCCTGCAAATGCGCTTTGAGTTCCCACTGTCATCGTAGCCCTCTGTGACCCGAGTGTTCACAAGCTCCGGTACCATTCCCGTCTTCGGATTTGGATTATGTTGTTTACAATCCTTGGATCACACAGGCTGGTGTGCTTCTTCCATGTGGACTTCGTTGACTCCTCGCTTAGACGGCTGCTTTTTTGAAGACAAGCATTTAAGACCCCCAACGCTCTTCTTAGAGTTGGATGCTGTTTGACTTCTGTGCCACTTTCTGTTACAGCACCCCCATCTGCAGGGCTCCCCTCACAAAGGCGAGCACTCCGTAAGAACTGGCTGTTCTTGGGGAGCTGCTGTCTTCTGATAGCTCCATCCATCTGGTCGTTGTTTGCTCCTTGGCTTCTCTTCCTGGAGAAGTGGAATGCTGCTCCGGGTCGTGTGTGGTTCTGTGAGAGCCTGTGTCTCCTTGCCGTAGGGTTTCAGGCCTTTGAAGTCCAGTTGGTGCTGCATCAAGCGCTCCCTAACATCTGGACGGTGTTCAGGGACCAAGAAGTGAGTGTTCACGTGGGATGGGGCGTCCTTGGTCTTTCCATTTCACCCTCCCCCCATCCACCCCCCATCCACTTGCCCTCCGAAAGGTGGTTCCTTCTTTCGTCCTCCGTCTTGCGGTGGAGAATGTTTCTCTGGGCTTCCTTCTCAGTAGCCTGGGCTTTGGGGACCTCGTCTCACTTCTCCTGCCAGGTGACGGTGAAGAAAGTGAACACGCAGCAGCGCTGGTACCTCGAGAACACCCCTTGTGAGCAAGGGAACTGCTGGAAGGAAAAGCTTCTCCTCTCTGCACGGGGCTTTACCGTCTTCTTCCAGATGCTGGTGAAGGCCCGGAAGGTGAGGGACGCGGCAGCCCGCCCCGCTGGTGGCCTTTGATAGTAGTTCGTAGATGCCCTAGACAGAACAGATCCGTTGCCAGTACAAGCAGGTTTCCATACCAGCCCTGGTTGACAGCAGCCTTCTGGATTAAGCTAGACCAGGTCATGGTCTGTTAATTTGGGGAGAACCTGGCCCACGTGGAACGCTGCCCTTTCTTTGTTCTTTCCAGGCGCAGGAGGACTTCACTTCTGATTGGCCTCAAGCTACAGGGGGGAGGTGGGTGGTGGAGGGCTGCCTGTGTCTTCCTGACAGTCTAGACTCGACCCCTCCCCAGACCCTGCCTCAAGGCCCCATTGCTCTATTTCTGTTCTTTGGGGCAAGGGGGTGGGGACACTTAACCAATTGGACTGCCTCTCAAGGTGGCGTGAAGGTGACGAGGGTGATCCTGGGACCAGGCTTGCAGTGGGTTCTGACTCCGAATCCTTGGCAAGAAATGCCTCTTGGCTTAGGGGGCCCGCTTGTTTTGATGGTGTGTCTTTAAACCCCACCTCTCTGACCTGCTGACTTGCTCCGAGCAGCCTTTAGTGGGACACAACATGATGATGGATCTGCTGCATCTTCACGAGAAGTTCTTCAGGCCTCTCCCAGGTAGGGCAGTCCTCTGGGCCACCTGGCGAGGGGAGTGGTGCCTGGCTGTGCTTCATCTGAAGTCAGCTCCCCGAACGCACACTGCTCCAGGTGTCTGGTTTCTGCAGAGGACGGCCAGGGCCCCTGTTTTCCTGCAGTGGGAGCGGGAGACCCCTGTAAGGGAGAAGAGACCTCCTTTGAGTGGTCCCTCTCCCCCAGCTCTCTGGTCACCAGGCCGTCCCTCCCACTGCACTGCACTTGATGAGACCAGTGTAGAAAGCAGAGGCACCACCGTTCATCTCAGCTCGAGTCGTCCCTCGTTGCTTCTGCCTCTAAGGCAGCGGTTCTCGACCTGTGGGTCGTGACCCCTTTGGGGGTCCAATGATCCTTTCACAGGGGTTGCCCAATTCTTAACAGTAGCAAAATGGCAGTGATGAAGTAGCAATGAAAATACTGTTACGGTTGGGGGGTGACCACTACATGAGGAACTGTATTAAAGGGTCTTGGCACTAGGAAGGTTGAGAACCACTGCTCTAATGTGAGGTTTTCGTACTTGATGATAATATGTTTGGGTTGTTTTTCACTCCCCAAAGCATCACAATTAAATACGGTCATTGATGTCTTTAAAGGCCTCATCAGCATCCTTTGTAATGGCATGTGATGCCAAGTCCATGCCATTGCCTCAGTTCAGACTCAGAGCCACCCCGCAGGACAGGGGAGACTTGTCCCTTTGGGTTTCTGAGACTATAATGAACCCTCTATGGGAGTGGGAAGCCTCATCTTTCTCCCTCGGAGCCATTGCTGGTTTTGAATTGCTGACCTTGCTGTTAGCAGCCTAACTCGTTAACCACTGTGCCCACCAAGGCTCCTTGATCCTGACTTCCAAAAAAACCCTCACTGCCATCAGTCAGTTCTGAATCACAGGGACCCTGTAGGACAAGGGTGGAACTGCCCCTGTGGGCTTCCAAGACTGTAAGCCTCATCTTTCTCCTGAGGAGTGACTAGTGGTTTTGAACATCGGACCTTATGGTTAGCAGCCCACTGCATGCCATTCCCCGTGCCTGCGTCTCTGTTGGGCCTATGGCAGAGACACAGCAGTTAAAGCTTGGTCTCGAAGCTCTGCCAGATACCCCCTCCTCCCCCTGCCTAGTCCCATCCTTGCTGCACACCTCCCCTGGAGCATGCCTGTTGGCGGTTTCCTTAGCTTTAAAAGGGGGGTGACCGTCATACACAAGAGGCGCCCTAGTTGGCACAGTGGGTGAAGCACTCGACTGTTGGCCTGAAGGCCAGAGGTTTGAAGCCACTGGATGCTCCGTCGGAGCAAGACTTGGCAGTCTGCTTCCCAAAGGCAGCTGCAAGCGGGCCTGGCCTCGACGGCAGGCCCACCAGAAGCCCGATGCCCACAGCACAGCGCTGGGGTGGGCATCGCGGGAAGCGCCAGGAGAGGGTCTCCCCAGAGCTAAACTGACAGCATGTCTGGGTGTGCGTGTATTGACAGAAGATGGGTAAAATGACTCAGCCCTTGTTAAAAATGAAGAAAATGGCAACGACAATACAGTAACACCACCCCAGGAGAAGGAAACCTGCCAAGAGAGGGACGGTGTTGCAGTCACAGGCTGCGGCACTGCAAGGAGCTTGGCGATGGATGGACACCGTGGTGACATGTTGGGCTGCCACCCGGAGGCTCATCTGGAGAATCCGGAGAAAGTGGTGGCGGTCTGGGAAACCCACAGGGACAGCTCTGCCCTGTCCGACAGGCTCGCCGTGCTTCAGTATTGGCGCGAGGGCAGTGGGTCTGTAGTGACTGAGGTGCCGTGGTGGTGGTGGTGGTGAGAGAGGAGGTGAAGGTCTCCCAGGGAGGAAGGGGTTTAGGAGAAGCGGGGAGGATGTGTGCTGGCAGAACCACAGTGGAACCCTGCACGAGCACCATGCCTGCCTGGAAGTCAATAGCTCAGTGCCTCAGACCCACCAATTGACCCATGCCCACGCAAGCGTGCTACAGAGGCATGTGCCCATAACTAGCGAGAGCAGCTGCCTCTGGGGTGGAGCATGTGGGAGGGCAGAGGTTTCCCAACACGCCCCGTGCCGACAGTGCGTGGGCACAGGCTCTGCCCACGACTAGTTCAACTTCTCCTATCCAGCCGCCCCTCCCTCCAGTGAGTTTCAGTTGGTTCTTCTCCAAATGGTCATTTACGGAGGATTGGTTTCACTCTTGCCTCTGCCCGCCTCCCCTCTTCATTGGCTGGAACCCCTTCCTTCTGTTAGTGGACCCTGTTGTCCCCTACCCTCAGACACTGTCATGGGGGGAGTTGGTCTGAGACTTGGGGTCCGTAACCGTAAGATTAAGGTCGTTTTCAATTTCGCTTTTGTTCTTGTTCATTTTATGGAGAGTTCTGCTGAAGCGTTTTCTTGACTATTTCAGCAAGGGATCTCACGTCCGACTGTGTCTTCCTCCTCAGAAAGTTACGAGCAGTTTAAGCAGAACATCCACCACCTGTTCCCTCTTCTCCTTGACACCAAGAACGTCACCAAGGATCTCTGGAAGGTGGGTCTCCGCAGCCCTGCTGCAGGGAAGCCGCGCCGGCCCCATGAAGCACCTACTTAGCCTTCTCCTTCTTGTGCATTGCTATTGTGTGCCCCCCCCCACCCAGCCCAGTTGTTCTTTAAACAGTTTATTAAGTGGTATTCATTCCCTTTTGTGTGTTGGTACCCCAGAGGAATCATGGGAACGTATATATGAGGAGACTTCACAATGGTCCTGAAGAAATTCCTTTCTCTCTCAGATCCATTGTCCTACCA